GACCCGGAGGCTCGCGTTCCGCCGGGCCCGGAGCTCTGTGCGCCTGCGCAGTGCCGCGCGCTGGGAGCGGCCCAGTGCGGCAGTGGGTTGGCTCTGGGGACGGGAAAGCAGTCGCCACTAGGCTCTTCCCTCTGCGGCCGGGCCCCCTTCTCTTCCGGCGGAGAGGTTAGTGCACTGCCTGCCCCGGCAGTCCGTGAGGCCCTGCGCGGGAGACCCCGCCTGCCTGGAACCTCCGCGTGACATGTCACCGGGACCGCCTTGGTGCTCTGCGCGTAACGGTGCTCTTTGGTCCACTTAGCTGGGAGTGAAAAGCACTCGACCCACAAACACTTACGGAACGCTCTTCTGAGCCGGTGCAAAGCGGTAACTGCACAGAAGTAGCTTTGAAGTTAAGGGATTGGAAGGTATGTTCCCAAAGATTAAGGTCACTTGGCCACTGATACTGCTTTCGTAGGAAATGGGCCCAAGAATCGAGTAGCTGCTTTGTTTGCATACAGAAAATACGAGTTGAATGCCTACTGTGTGCTGGGCACTGTGGCCAAGGGGACAGCATGAACCAAAGACAAACCTCAATCCGCAGTTTAGAGGAGAGACAAATCTATCCCTTCCTCTTCTATTTTTCCTTCTAGCATTGTTGCTGTTTAATGTCTGTTTTGCCGATTTACTGTATTTATCTGTCACCCCAATGCGACGTAAAGTTCAAAAGATAGGGATTTTTAGCCATTTTCCTGTATTTTCAGCAAGTAAGACAGTGTCTACCTACCACATGATAGGAACCCAGTGCACATGTGTTGTGTGTGTTAATAAACTGGAAATGTAAGGTATGCAAGGGGTGTTACATGCAACGGAGAGCTATAAAGGGGAGGAAGATAGAGAATGGGTGCTGACTGCATTTTAAATGAAGAGGTTGGGTAAGACTTCACTGGGTAGGAGATGTTTGAGCCAAGGTCTGAAGGAGGTGAGGGAATGAGGCTTGCAGAGACCTGGGAGAAGAGCATAAGAAACAGTAAATGCAGAGATCCAGAGGCCAGAGTGACGAGCAAAATGAGCAAGGGAAAGAGCTGTGGGAGATGTTAGAGTGCTACAGCGCCAGAGAATGCAGGGCCACACAAGCTATTTTTAAGATGTTTGGCTTTTATTTCTAGTGAAATATGAGGCCATTGTCACATTTTCTACAAAGAAAAGATGTGATCTGACTTAAGTGTTCAAAGGATCACTTTGGTGACTGTGTTGAGCAGAATCTGTAGGAGTCCAAGAACAGACAGGGAGGATACGATATGGAGCTGTTACCATAACCTTTGGGAGAGAGAGCAACGTGGACCAGGGTGGCAGGAACTAGCTGGAATAAAGCGAGTGGGGTTTGCTGATGGATTGGGTATAGAGAATGAAGAGAAGAACCAAGGTGGCCTCCAGGTTTTGGGAATCAGCAAAGATGAGAATGCGATTGCTATTTCATGAAAGGGGGAGAGAGACTGTGGGAAGAATAGGGTTTGTAGGTAGATTTCAGAAACTGAGTTTTGAGAATGCTACATTTTGTGTGTGAATGAGAGTGGTTTAGAGGTAAGTTTTTGATACTCATTAAGGAGTAAGGGTATATAAGATCATGAGGTTGGGTGAGATCACCAAGATCTGAGAAGAGAGAAGAGCAGTGGCGAAAATACTGAGCCTTAGCTCATTCCATTCTTGAGGGGTTGAGAAACCAAAAAAAGAGACCAAAGGTGCCACCAGTGCGGTAGGTCAGTGGCCCGTGGGGACTCCTAGAAGAAGCCTAGGGAAGAAGGAGGGTGGAGTGAGTGATCAGCTGTATCAGATGTTGCTGATAAGTCAGGTAAACCAAAGACGGAGAAGTGCCCATTGGACTCAGAAATGTGGAGGTCATTGGTGACCTTGACAAGTGGTAAAGGGGTAAGGATGAAAGCCTGATTGGAGTGCATTTGAGAAAAATCAGAGGCGAGGAGTCAGAGACAGCAAATAAAACTCTAAAAGGAAGGGAGCTCAGAGAAAAGGTATAGTATATGGGAGGGAAGATGGAGCCAGGGGAGAGTGGGTTTTATCAGATGGGAGAAATGAAAGCATCGTTGTATGCTGATAGGAATGTGCCAGTAAAGAGGAAAAAATAAATGGCATAGAAGAAAGAGGGAAGAAGAGCTGAATCATTCCTTCTGTAGAACTGACACGCTAACCACTGAGTGACACCAGCCAGGGCTTTTGAGTGTTTCTTGTATGTGCTCTGGCTGGAGATAGAACCTGGTATTATTATTTATTAATTACTGTATTACTTTCCATATGAGTAATTGTAAACCAACTTTTGCCCCACCCTAACCCTAAACACCCCCCACCCCCATCCTGTCCTCCCTCCGTTCCTGTGGTACAGTGCTATGGGTAC